ATTTGCCCAGTGGACTGGTAAGCGAGCAGGGACTATGTCTTTACCCATATTTCTCCCTATTCCCCCACAGAGCCTGATTAGAGTGTGAGGGGAAATTAGCATGAAAGTGCAGAAGAAAGAATTTGGAATTGTTTACATTAAACATGATCCAGCCTATGAACATATATAAGGGCCTGAATTAAAGAACAAGGAAGTAGCAGAATCCACTCGGGATAGCTTCGTTGCCATGCACGGCAGAACGGATGATTTTTTAAAATTTCCATCCAGGCTTTTTGAGACTAAATAGCAGCATTAAAAACAAACACACACAACAACAATTAAAAACAAGAACAGCTAATCATAGCTGCTCTTTTAGTCATATTTAATTATTACGTCTTAGAACATCTGAAAACCCATGTTTGTCTCGGTAACTTACAAAAGGTTTACAGGCAGAGGGAAGCCACACAATATTAAACTGGAAGGTTTAGAACTCTAAAGTTTGAAAAACATCACCTAACAAGGACATTATTTCAAAGAACACAGATGTCTTCTGTAAACAAACACTGACCCAAACAAGCAAGGCGTCTTGCTCGACATAACAGCCCTTGCTGTCAAAGCAAGCTTTCTGTCCATTTTGATAAAGGATTGTACCAACTTCTCTCTCCACTTGAACTCTGTTGCCTTTGTGAGATCTTATAATTATATTTACTTGAAAGAAGTAGTAGGGAGGTCCTGGAGAGATAAGAACTCTCCCTTTATTACTTTGTTCTGGAAAATAGAACAAAAATAGGTCAGTTCTTAAGGAAATGATGGCTGCATATATAAATAATGTAAACACTCCTATCACTGTCCTGTGGAGGATATTTATCATGGAGACAGCTGGAGACACCCAGATCTGGCCAATGGACAGTTTCTGTTCTCAAACCCCCCCACTTACACCTCTCAGACTGTGAACTGTCAATTGGAAACTTGATTATTATCAGTTAAAAATAACCAGGGAACTCTGGCAATGATTTAACCTGTCTGACTTTCTTAAGCTAACAATTAACATTTTAGACTATTGTTGACAAAATATTTAACTTTCCCATGCCATTTGTGCAAACGACTTTTCTAATATTCCTTAGACGCTCCGGTGGACACACTTTTCCCAAGCTGCTCTGGTCCCGGCAGGGGCCTGTAAAAGACATATGCACAAGGACCCCGGCCAGTTTCACAACACAGCACGTTTTAACTGAGATTTCCTGGCACCTTCAGGAACACTTAAGCATACTGATAACTCAGTCTTATCTAGGCAGCGCTAAATTTGAAATACCAATCCCTCTATTTACAATAAAAGCTATTTCGCCATTTAAAACAGACAACTGAAAGCTTAAGTATCCTTTTAATCCCTGGAAAAACCAGTATTATGATTCGTTGCTTAGTAGTTTATTATTAGCAATACTAGTAATAATGCCTTGCATTTCTGTAGTGCTTTATTTTTTCCCAACGCCTGTTCAGAAAACACACATTCATTTGCTTCTCTCAACACACTAGGACAGCAATATTGTTCTCTCTGTTTTACAGATGACTGCTAAGTAACTTGTCCTAGGTCACCCATCTGGTTAGTGATCAAGCAGGCACAGGATCGGGGAGGCAGACTCCTTGTCTGATCTGCTTTCTTTCCTCCACACTACGTTAGAGAAAAGATAATCTCTAAAGCCAAAGATGACTTGGAACCACTTATCTATCCAACCTAGCAACACAATCTATGCAACGGAAAAAAAGAGCTTGTCTCAGGCAAAAGGGAAAGATTAATAACGAACCGCAGAAGCTTTAAACCTTACTGTATTGGACCAGCAATTATTCAGTCTCACAGTTCATTCAAAGATTCAAACGTACTTCACCAGAAAATGATTCAGTGCCTAACGCCTGCTCCAAGTGGTTAGAAATGCAGATCTGCTCAAAGCCCTATAATCCAGGCCCTCTGAAAGGCCCTGTTCCTGCAGTCTCTGCAGCAATGGGGCTTCCCCTGAACTTGCACTTGAGCTAAATGAAGAAAATGTCTGAGTAAGGGCTGTAGAATTAGGCTGTCAATGTGGAGAGCATTAGCATTGGCTTGGAGGTTATTGCATTGTTCTGGAAACTTGGGCTATTGAAAAAACTCAGACTTTATATATTTCTTGCAGCACAATAGCCCTCAGGTCGCAGACCAGAAGTTCCCCTGCCATCCATGTTCCAGTATTACTGACTCCATACTAGGCATTGTACTAGCAAATACGCAGTATACAGAGATTCCATCTGAGGATTCAGTGCATATTTGATTTTAGATGACCAATATTCTCTCTCTCTCCCCCCGAAAGGACCTTTATGGCCAGTTATGGCATATGGATTAACTCTTAAACCTTCAACACACCCAGACAGAAGTAAATCTGGTAATGCACACAGCAATTAAATTAAGAAAGAACTCTGCCACTCATTCTGCGCAAAGATCCCCTTCAAATTAATAGTGTCTCTGAAAATAAGAGGAGCCCATTGGAGGTGGGACCTGCCGATCTAATGTGCGGGGATGAATCAGTTCCCAGTACCCAGGCCTCCCTTCAAACACAATGTTATCGGGTTCATACAGTACTTGCATCACCATCTCTGAGTACCATGCTGAGTAACAAAGCTCCAAATTTAGAAGCTAAAATGGAGAAGGGAATTTCCAATAATCAAAAAGGGGGTGGTGGATCAACCTTTGGAAAGCCACACGTTTTCAATGAAAAGCAACCATCAGAAAGAAACTGTTCTTTTTAGTCCTAACTCACAGGGCACCTCTCATCATCACCGAGCTCGCAGAGTGGTCTCCTCCAAGGAATGTTTCAGGAGGTGGCTGGTGGTTAGAAGGGAGGAATCAGATTCTCTCTCGGAACAGGAGTGGTACAACAGCCACCTCTGGCTTCTGCAGCAGTAAGCCTTCAGTCCGGAAAGGCAGGACCCCCTCCTCTCACTTCCTCCCAGCATGGAGAGTGCTATCGTAAAGTTACAATAACCACTGAGGTTGGTTGGTTTCATTCTGCATCCCAAAGCCCCCCTCTCCCCGCCCCCAAAAGAGCCAGCCTCATTCTACTTCCACCTTGGAGAAAAGAAAAAATAAAAAATGGCCATAAGCAGACATGCCACCTTCCTGGCAGAGGCCGAGATACAGGGCCACCTCCAGTTTTGGCACCCCAGACAGATATCGGTCTTCTCCCCTGAAAAAGTCTGAGCGCCTCGTCCCCTGTGTCATCCCCAGAAACACTTACCAGGAGACTGCGAAGTGCACAAAGCGGTATTATTGGGAGACTTGCAGACAGATTATAAATTTACTAGGGACAATCAAGGCCTTTAGATGCTTCTGGCTGCAGATGCCAGTGACACACACATACACACAAACCTCATTCTTCTCTCCCTTTGAGTGATTTCCCCACCCCCCACGCCCACCCCTCTGCCATTCACCTCAGCAGCTCCCTTTCACAAAACAAACTGCCACTGCTCTCCTAGGGAATTCCAAGGAGTGGTGGGGATGGAACAGGTGGTAGGGAAGGGAAACTAGACCTTGAAGCTCTAATAGGACCCCACAGGTCAACTGCATTCAAGGATGAGACAGCAAACACTGGGTAGTTCAACTGTTACCAGTTATTTTTCCTCTGGAGCTCATGCCAGCAAGTTGCAGTTCTAGGCAACCCAAGCAAAATGTGTGTGTGGTGGGGCAGATGACCACTAACCTAGCTTTCCCAGGACTTCTAGAAACTTCACCACACACCCAGGCTAGATATAAGGGGGAGCCACAAAGAAGCATCCTATAGGCCTGGCTGGGGCGGGGAGAGGGGATCTGCTATCCAGAGCTCCTTTTCAAGCTCCTTTGGAAAAGAGTTGGACGCACTGTCCTCCTCTCCTTTGGGCTTTTGGAGAACTTTTAGTCTCATATGGCCATTTCCTGTTGCTGACTTTCATTAGGGCTGGCTTGGGGAAGCCGGAGCGGTGCTGCGAGCAGACACAGACGATCAAGGGCCCCACAGACCTCAGAAATGGAGGTGGCCTGCAGGGCTGCGGGGCAGGGCTCCACCTTCTACCCAGAGGCCACCGGCCTGGCAAATCCAGGCGAAGCCAGTGCACGGCAGGCGGTCACCTGACCAGGACTGGCACTGAGAACCAATGATTCAAGGGATACTCCCTCTGGGATGGGGTGTGTCTGTGCCTCTGAGGAAGAACTGCCAGCCAGAAACTTCAGTCAGAACTTTCAGGTTTGATGTCCTGTCACCAGGAGTGGCTGAAGACAAGGTACTTCCTAGGATGATAGTGTGTAAACGGCCCCTTCCGTGCCTGCCCACTGTCCTGAACACTGTCAGCTGGCATGACCTGCCTGTGGTGCCCGGGAAAAGCAGCTAGGTGGGAGGGGGACAGTGGGGGCATCCCTGGGAAATCAGGGAGTAAGCCTCTCAGAAACATTCCCTCACTAGTCTTGGGGATGTTTCCCCCACATTTCTCTTTTGACTGAGGGGACACTCATGGAACTTCTCTGTTAGAGATCGCCACTTACGGTCTCTTAACCCAAGAAGGGGCCACTTCAAAGGGGAAATGGGAAAAGCAGGACAAGGCTTTGAGGAAGGTTAGCTAGACTGACAGAGGAATTCAGGCTGAAGCACAGCTTGTTGGGCCTAATCAGAGCTGGCCAGCCAGAACAGAAGATCTGTGAGGACAGGGCCTTCCTCAGTGGCTCACTCAGATCTTGCCAGCCTGTAGCCACTCTTGACTCCAGAGGGCCTCTGGGAAGCTCGGGCTTTCTACTTCCTAAGAGACAGCCTACGAGTGTAGGAAGAGCCATGAATGAGCACCAGCAGAACTTGATGAGTAAGAGTGTAAAGCTGCACAGACTGCCTACCCGATGGCCTGGGAGGTAGCCAGGTAACACCTTGGCCCTTTTCCTTGCTGTCCGCTCCCCCTCAGGCCAAGGCAAGCTCTACCCTCACAGAAGGCCACCGGACCACAAGCCAGAATCATGAGAAAACCAGGTGCCTTACCGCAATCAGGGCTGAGTTCCTCTGGTCCCCAGGGGTTGAAGCTTGTGACTGCTGCTCACCGTCGATCCCACCACCGCCACCATTATTGCTACTGTTGAGCAGGTGCTGCTGGTGGTGATGGTGATAGTCTGGTGGGGGCGGTGGGGCTGCTGTCGCCGCTGCTTGAGAGGCTGCAGGAGGGGCAGCAGGGGGCGGTGGAGGGGCTGCCGTGGTGGCCGCAGTGGCAGTGGCCTTGGCGTGCTTGCCAGCCTTCCTTGCCCCCTGGCCATGCTGTACCAGGCTCAGGAGCTGCAAGGTGCTCTCTCTTTCCCGGTCTGAGCTCTCAGCCCGACCGCGCTCATAGCGTCCTTCACAGCTCAGGTGGTGCTGGCGGCAGACGGCGATCCGAGCCCGGAGGCGCTCCACGATAGCACTGTGCACTCTCGGGGTGACTGAGCCCCCTCCAAGGAGCCCCGCCCCAGGGGCCCCCCCTAGCCCTCCTGTGGGGGCCTGTGGGGGCGCTGTGTCCCCCATCTTACTGGACACAATGCTGCCTCTGGGATGGTGAGGTGGAAGGAGGCTACTGCTGGCTATTGCAGGCAAGTCTGTTTTTGACAATGTGAGCTCAGTGTTCAGGGCCACATGAATAGAGGTCTTCAGAGGTTGGGGGGAGCCGTGGAGAAGGTGTGGGGGAGGGGAGTTAGTAAAAAGAGGGTGAGGAGACAGAGCAGAACCAGTCGCAGAGGATTAGTTGGAAACAAACCCTTATCAACTTACTCTAATTGCATTTGACAGCTCTCGAGAAGTTGGACAGAGTTGGTGGGTTTTTTTTTTTCCCCCCACCAGGCTGACAAGAGCCCCTAGGTACTTTGTAAACACACGATCTGGGGGTTAGGGCAAGAATTCAGGGATTGTCAAGCCAGAGACAGAAACAGACAGCAAAGGGAATTGAGAGGAGTATTAATAGAGACTGGACTCCCCCTCACCTAGTTGTTTCAGAAAAAATTTTTATGGGGATGTTTCTGCAGAGAAACACATCTCTACCACGTCTATGTAACCTGCAGCCTTTACTTTTCTTCGGGTTAGGAAAAAAAGTGCTGTTTCTGAAAATTTTCAAAGTCAATGTTCAGAATGTACAAAAAATCAAGAGAGGCTGTCTGTTGGCTTTTAATTTTTCCTCCCTTTCCCTTGGCTCCGGTGTTTTCTCCTCTTTGGGGTACTGTAGGATGTTGTCTTCTCCCAAAAGAGGGAGATAGCTTTTCAATTGTTAACAATGTCAGTAACTGGACTTTTGGACCATGCTCTTTTCTTCAGCTAATCCAATCACCGGTAAAAATCCTCATTCCCTCTTCGGTTTCCTAGCCTTAAATGAAAGCAGTCTGAAGTCGCTAGCCACTGAGAGAGATCCTTCAACACATTTTTTTCTTCTTTCCCGCTTACGCTTCCTCACCCCCGGCGGCTCTATTCTAACACAGTATCAAGAGAGACAAACTCTTCCGAGAGTAATTTACAAACGATGGTCAAACTTACAAACTTCCAGCAAATTGCACCGAGTCATGTCCAGCCACTTTTCTGTCCACTTTTGTACATTCCATCCCCGGCCAGTGGATCTGAGGGTCTGGACTCGCAATAAGCAATGTGGTTCTATCTCCTGTATTGCTCCGCTTTATAGATGGAAAGAAAAAAAAAAAAAGTAGCTTGTATTTTCCTTTCTCTTTCCCGTCTGTTGTTAGCCGCTTTGCTGACACTGGCTCCACTGCCCGGAGTCACGGCGATACACAGGCTTTCATTGTGCTCCGATAGGAGAGAGAGAGAAAGAGAGAGAGTGAGACAGAGAGGGAGAAAGAGAGAGCCAGCAAGCTGCAGATGGGGGCGGGGGGAGGGGGCGGGCGGGAGAGCCGAGCGGCGGCTCCCTGGTGGAAGGCTGGTGTCACTGCACGAGTGAGTAATTGCAGCCGGGCGCCCGAGAAAGGGGAACGCAGAGGGCCTCCCAGTGGCCGAAGACGTAAATCCCACAGCCTGCGCGTGGCGCGTCTCGGCGGGGCTCCCTTAGCCTGACTTGGCCGAGTGGGGAAGGCTGGGGAAATTCCCCAACCTCTACACATGTACTTCACCAGCTCTAAATGTTGAAGAAATTCCCGGCCGGGGAATGTATTTTCCCTTTCAGACCTACCTGACGCCCCCCTGAGGATATCATTTTCATTTTTCAATATGTTGTAAAGGACACCACTGAGCACCCCAGCGAGAGCTGGGTGAGCACCGAGGAAATGCTCATTAGTTCATTAGTATAATAAGGAAGACGGGCGAGGATGTGCGTGTGGCGGGGGGGGGGGGGGGGGGGGGGGGGGGGGGGGG